TTTTTTTTTTTTGGACAAGGAAAAGGACAAACTAAACCTAAGCCAGCACCCTTTCAGGAAGCCAATCCAGCCTTTTTGTTTGTGCTTGTCGATCTTTATGTCGACTAACATTTCCCCTTAATCCATTCACTGCACACTTTTCCCCTTACACTTAGTAGCTTTTCCCTCCCCTAAATGGTCATAGAAGTTCCCTCTATGAACTCGCTCTGCAACTCTTCTTTCTCAATTTACTTCATTCTTCTTCATTTGAAGTTTTTTCTTCCTAAATTGTTTTAGTGCATGTGTTTGTGATGCTCCTTTCTGTTCCCTCCCCCAACCCCAGGGAGTTAATGATTAGAAAGCAAACCACTCCACCTATATGCATTAAAGAAGATATATAAAACTGGTTATATACAAGTCATGCATATTGTTTTTTTTTTTTTGCCCAGACCTTGTTCTTCGTTATAGGATAAAGTCAAGGATGTCATTTTTCTCTTCCCCCTTACCTCAATTAAGTATAAGGCCACTTAGGTAATAAATCAGTGCAGTATGCCGCTCCGCCAAGCAAGGAGTGTCAAGCACAGAGCAAAAAGAAACCAAATTTAATATCATGAGGGTACGTTACCTTTTTGTTGCGACAACTACCAACCCCGAACTCTTGCCCTAGTGGCATGGAGAGGACTCTCTCGACCACTATGAACAAGATTTGCCGGTTTTGTGCCACTTAATTATTTTCTGATTCATCTTGCAATGTTAATGTTTCTGTACTTGGATCTTCTTTCATTTGATTGGGTTTGATCAATATGTAAGGAGACGGCGGAATTGAAAAAGTAATAAAAAGAAATGGAGCAGCGAGAACATAACATACAACAAAACCTATGTTTTGAATTGAACTGCAGCAAGGGCGTCTAGTTATACAGAATATTTGTTGAGAGATGAAACTGATAACAAACAAACCTACCTCTTTTACTACTCCTCATCTATTTCTTACCCTAGACTTTTATCAAGTACTAGTGCTTTACATGGTGTGTCATGTCTTTCTTCTGTCACTTGAACATCAATCACTTTTCCATCGAAGGTTAAACAACCTGACAACTTTCCTTATCCCCTCCATCCATCTACATTCACTAGGCAGCATCACCATGCAATTAAATTTAATTGTTTAATCACAGATTTCTTAAAAGTGGGGCGACCAAAGAAGAAGAACAACATCCATGAAGGAACTAAAGAATCTTAGCACAAAGCAAAAATCAGTAGGAAAACAGAGAGGATCAGATTAAACCAATCCCAAACTTAAATGTTCCTCAATAATTGTTAAATTTAACAAAAATGGAGAACATTTTGTGCTAGTTAAAAGATATAACCCTCTTTTTAGTCATAACTACATCCTCATTCTTTCTAAATTTAAAAAAGGAAGAAACAATTTTGTTCAGTGAAGGAAAACAGAAAAAAGAACTAATCTTTCCCCTTTGTCAGATCCACAGGAATGAACAACTACCTGGAGGAGGCGCTGCAGGTCAAGATGCATCTTTGGAAATCTTCTATCGTCCAGCAATTGTTTCTTCAAAGCAAAACCACCTGCAGCCAAAGCAGAAAAAAATCATTCATTCAAACAATCAACAACGAACTCCAAGAAAATTAATAAAAGGAAGATGGTTTCAGGAATTAAATAAATGAGTATTTGTTTTCTTCATAAAGCAGCACCAACCACTAAAATCAAAGGAAAAAATGTAATGCATTGCAGTGAGAGAGTAAAATCAAGAAGTAATTTCATGAGTGATTTTAGCACTAAACAATTATAGGAAGTAATGGGGATATTTCCTAGTCACCTTTTGTTGGTATGGTAACCCCAGGTCCACCCAAACCTTTTGCACTCAGGAAACTGAGCAGTGGGCAGTGGCTCATTCCTATTTTTTCTCCTTTGGTGAGTCGAACCACCAACCTTGATTGGAGGATGGAGAGTCTTTACGCTATCCCTCAAAATGTAATTCAGGAAATCTTCTTTATCTTTTTAGTATTACTAAATAGTTATTATTCTAGCCTGCTGACCCAAACGTAAAGGCCGACTAATGAGATGTCTATTTTGATCTGAGTTTATGTACTCCTACTACGCATATGAATGTGCAAGTAGCCTGCAAATAGAATTAGTATGAGGGTTTAAGCTTGAAACAAGGATTCCTTCAACAAGTAAAACATGAACTGTCCATCAAACTGTATCATCAATCATGAGGACTGCCATCACGAATTGACAATGTTGTCAGGTTGCAAACATTCCATGAACCTTATGTGATGGAATGTATTTTCCATCTCCAAAACCAGAACAAAATGATTGTTTAATATTACACAATAGGAAACACAAAATCACAACAATTGATTTCCCAGTTTAACATTTATAAGGAAAATATACCTTTGTCCAATTCCAGCTCCATTGAATCCAACTCAATCTCCAGCTTCGTCAAAACATCTTGAAGGTGATCCACATGAGTGTCTATGATGTGAACAACCAGATTTGAAAGAGATTTAGGTACAGGATTATCAGCTTCTTCGGAATGATTCATCATCAACAGAAAATCAAGAACATGCTCCCTGATAACAGTCCCACCCCTTTCTTTCAACTCAACACCACCAGATCTTGGACTTTCCACAATGGGAACCTCTGAGAGAAGAGACTCATTTACTGG